TTTATCCTTTTCAGTGGGTGCCACACCCAGGCAAGGTATGACCCCGGGCAAGGGGCAGACTCCTCTGACCACACCCTCCAGAGACAACCTGAGAATAAACCCAGATATGGACTTTGATGAACAACAAGAATATGGAAACTTTGCACAGGTTTTTATATATGCTTATTTCTGTTCGTTTGTGGTATTTGTGCTGGTCCAGTATAGGCCTAAATGATATGTTTAAACAAACAAATTTTGATGAATTCTGAATACTCATTGTTTACATCTCAAAGCTTTGTTTAGCTAACTAAACGTAATCTGCTGATAAAATGATAGTTAAATTAGTAATGCCCATAAGACCTCAGTTACTTGTTAATTCTGTTCAACAGTTGCATACTTTTTTTCAGCAAAATCAGAAAGATCTACTGAAAAGGGGTCTTTCTTCCTTACCTGCCCCAAGAAACGACTATGAAATTGTTCTTCCTGAAAATGAGTTGCAACAGAATGATCAACACATGAATGAGATGGAAGGATTCATACACGACCAGGCAGACTTGGATGCAATGAGACATGCAGAAATGGAGGCCAAAAGTAAGTTTATAAAACAGAAACAGAGATGAGATGAGGGGATTAAAGGGATTTTATTCAATCCCAGTCACAATGCTTTAGGAAAATTGATGCAGCATTATGACAAGTAAAATTCTCTCCCTCCTTTCTCCTATTCACTCTTTCCCTTTAAATTTTATTTTTTTAAAAGACATTTTAAATGATGAGTCAGGCATGGGGTGAACATTTTCTTTCATGCCAATTGAGGAACTTGATGAGGGTAAGTCCTATTTAAAGTAGCCCAGTGACATTATATGGTAACATTATATTTTTTTCAGTTAATTCATAAGAGCACACACTCCAATATGAAATGTTTCTATTTGTTTTTCAAGGGCAACAGGAGCTGTTAAAGCGGTCCCAGGCAGTTCAGAGAGAATTACCCAGGCCAGCTGATGTGAATGCTAACATTATGAGACCTCCCCCTGGACCAAGTGATCCTCCCCTTACAGAACTTCAGAAGGTTGGTGCATCTGTATGAGGTCATTGTGAGTTTAAGGCTTCGTTCACATGGAAAGTCTATTTTCTAAAAATCTATTTTCTATTCGCGGTATATCTTGTGATCACGGTCTGTGCCCTGAATATCCCACGGCGTAATTACTGGCAGCGTGAGCCAGTTACTTCCAAAGCTGTAATTAATTCTTGGCTGTGTTCAGAGGAGATTCTGATACCTTGACGCATGCGCAGTAGGAAGTTAGAAAGTTAATGGCGGTCGCGTTTGCTTTGAAAAATGTGTTTGTCGAATTTGTGCAACAACAAGACAAAGAAGATGAAGAAGCTATACACACGACAGATACGAGTGCGACCGTCATGATCCAATGGTAAGCAATGCGGCAACGGAGGATGAGATTTTATAGAATGCGAGCACAGCCGAGAATTAATTACAGCTTTGTATAAGTAACTGGCTCGTGCTGCCAGTAATTACGCCGCGGGATATTCAGGGCACAGACCGTGATCATAAGATACTGCGAATAGAAAATAGATTTTTAGAAAATAGACTTTCCATGTGAACGAAGCCTTAGTGATGCTAATTGTGCAGTGATGTGGAGGATTACTATTTGTAAATCACCCATGTATATCTTGATGTATTTGCTTTAGGTCTAGAAAAGGAAGTGAAAAGCAGTGTTATCCTTTTTTCACTGAATGGTATGGAGTCATGAATGTTTTTAAATGACCTTCATTGCTTTTGCATAATTATTGGTTTAGATAGTAATGCCTTAGTGCATTTTTTGTTTCCCAGGATTGAAAGATCTTTGAGACCAGCAATAGTATAGATATGATGTGTTTTGAAGATACATTATACTACTAACCAAAACACCTGGACCCCTCTTTAATTTAGGCAGAGGAACTGATAAAGAAAGAGATGCTGACCATGCTTCACCATGATGCTGTGTACAGTCCCACAGACACCCAGCTTGGCATAATACCAGGCAGTAAGAAAGCTGTGCCCAGTCAGAAGACTGTGGTGAACCAGGCCCATCACTTGGCATACCTGGAGCAGAATCCATACACAGAGGTAGATGATCGTGATCTAGAGCAGGTGAGGGATGATGATTTGACTTTAGAGGAGATAGGTTTTCAAGTTAAGCAGTGAGAAGGAGTGCTGTTAGACACATTTATAATAAAGACTGCTTCTCTATGTCTTTATTTTTGTGTAAAATATTTCCTTGAAGCAACACATAGTTCAGTAATTTGCAAGTTTTGATAATTCTGGTATTCAAATGATATGTTGTCTAGATGGAAAATTGTCGCTTAATCTGAAATGAAAAACATGTTGGTTACTGAAGGCCCGCGAGCTGCTGCGTAGGGAGATGGAGGTAGTGAAGCGTGGTATGGGGCATGGGGACCTGTCCTTGGAGGCCTATACCCAGGTGTGGGAGGAGTGTTACTCCCAGGTCCTGTATCTACCATCACAGAACAGGTACACCAGGGCCAACCTAGCCAGCAAGAAAGACAGGATAGAGTCACAGGAAAAGAGATTAGAGGTAAGGAAAGCTGTTGTGTGTTATTATTTTACAGATTCCTGAAAATTAAATGTAGATAAATATGACTGTGTAGGTTAGTCAGCCAAGCATATTTTACATTGAATGCATTTCTTGAATCTAAGTTTTATCCGTTTCCCAGTCACCTGGCTCGTTTTCACAAAGGTGATGCAATATTGCCAACTCAATAATGTGAGTCCAGTAATAGTTTTAAATACTGATATTAAGTCTATATTAATGTCCAGTGGCATATTAGGGTAATTTTTGGTTACTTCTGGATATGGTTGAGGATGCCAGGAAAAATTTTAACGAATATTTTGGTGATAGAACCTATTATCTCTCCCAAAGATTGCCAGAGGTCATGTCCAATTCTAGAAAAGTGTGTTTATGCTTTTGATATAGAATAAAGACACTTAATTCAGCATAGTTATTTTCTCCCTGATCAGGTCAACAGAGGCCATATGACCAGAGAAGCTAAGCATGCTGCAAAAATAGAGAAGAAATTAAAAATTTTACTGGGAGGCTATCAGGTAACTTCATGTCAATACACAGAGGTTTTAAAGCTAAGTGTTAAATATACTGAGGGGTTTCTTACGTAGATATTGCTTTTGGTTATCAAATAAAAAGTGATGATGTTATATTCTTACCTGTCACTATTGATGTAATTCCCATACTTCATTTCCATTTGCAAATTATTTTGCTTTCAGTCTAGAGCACAGGCTCTAATGAAACAACTGCATGATTTAACGGAGCAAGTGGAACAGACCTTCATTGAAAAACAGACTTTCTCTCATCTTCGTCAGCATGAAGTAGGGGCCATTCCTAAGAGATTGGAGGTAAAGTCTTCTGCCAGATATCAAAGAAGCATCTTTTTTTTATGAAATAATAGGGAGTAAAAGAATTTGTTCTATTTATTTAAAATATGAATGAGCACCTAGCTGAAATTTGGTGTAACCATTTGAAATTGTTAGGAAATATTCTTTAGTTTTACTGTTGCATGCTCAGTTTGTTTGTGGCATGTAGTATTTGAGTTATGTTGGTCAGTGATCCAGTTTTTAAAAAATTTCTTTACTTTTCTGTTAACAGTCTCTAACAGAGGATGTGAACAGGCAAACGGAGCGAGAAAGAGAGTTACAGAAAAGATATGATAAACTGCAGCGGAAAAAAGATATGCTGGCATTAGGAGTGTACTAGCACCTGAGGAACTCTGTTCTTATGTGAGACTTCAGCACAAATATAATGAATTTTAACCGTTGAAGAGTACAAATATGAGACTTATAATTATGTTCATTAAAAGACACAAGGTTATGTCAGTGCAGAATCAAAGCAATGATAGAGAGAGTGGTTCATTTATTTTCAACATGTACATATTAGTTTTTTGGAAGGTCCTAACATTTTGCAGTGGAATAATTTCTTAATGACAATCTCAAACGTAAAAAACGTAAATATTATGATTATGTACAGAAGGAAACTTTTGACCAAAAGTAAACATCTTAATACTTCAGTAGATGCTGGCTGAGAATTTTATTATTTAAAACCCTCGTCACTGTTCTTCGTGATTTAATGGCCATTTAGATACGTATCATGTTGTGCTTACATAATTCTGTGTGAAACTACTGGGGTAGAGGGGCACAGCCACACACGTTGCAGCTGGGGTTGATTGTTGATCTACATTTTCGATTTTCTCATTGCTATATTATGACCAAAATAAATGGTTGTGGAAGTTTTGCATTTATTTTTTAATGAAAATTATTAAAAGTACAGTGTGCTTTTACCCTTCGGGATTTTTATCATCAAAAATCATTAAAGCCACTTCCGTGGCAGTTACAATTGCAATGTTAAATTATTCAATACCGTATTTGACTGAATGAGTTCACTATAACTGGAATGAGTCCAAAGAGTTCGCCACAAAAGATATACCACAAAAGAATGCATACGTTATGTCAGTTTATTTGTTATCAAATTTATGCACCACAGCAATCCCGCCACCTTGTACTTTTTCAATAGTGTAATACCAGTTATCATATCCCTCCTGGCGAAGCGGCTCTTTCAGATCATCCTCCAAGAGCTTTGGTGGGTGAGAACTACCTGCATCTTCACCATACTTGTGCATGGCGCGTCGATAGATTTGTTCGACCAGCCCCAAAACTTCTATCGGGACTTTAGCGTCAAACGCTAGTTTCCTTCCAAGATCAAGATCTTTGCAGTGCAGTGCTATTTTGAACCCTGGATCAAAGGACCCGTTAAACATGAGAGGTGCTTCAGTTTCGAAGACGAAGGAATTCCCAGCCGAGGCACGAATGCCATCAAAGAAAGCCTGCAGGTTGATTCCGTGCCTCTTGGCTATCATAGCTGACTCTCCTGCCACAACCATATGAACGGCACACAACATGTTGCTGATGACCTTGACGACGCTTGCGCTTCCTATCGGACCCATATACAACACAGTATCCGTATATGACCTAATAAGTGGCTCATACTTTTTCATGTCTTCGGTGTCCCCGCCGACAAAAACTGTCATGAGTCCAGCTTTTAAAAGCTCTAAGCCACCCGTTAACGGAGCCTCTAGCATTTTCAATCCCCTGTCCTGAGCTATGATTGCAAGGCGCTTAGTTTCGTCGGCGTCTGTAGTGGTATGGTCGATCCAGCAGGCGCCTTCCTTGATTTTAAAAAGGACGCCTTCTTCCTCCATAACCTGCCTTATGTGCGGTGGAGCTGGCAAAGCTGTAATCACCACCTCTTTCCCAGCCACGACTTCTGATGCGGTGTCCACCCATTTTGCTCCTTTCTCGGTCAATTCCTTGGCGTTCAGGGTACTTGGATCCGTCACAGACACGCTGTGCCCGCCCCTAAGGAGGCCAAGAGCTACAGCACGCCCAACTTGCCCGGCTCCTATTACACCAACGTTAGCATTACTGACAGCCGATGTGCTAAACGATGGGCATTGGATTCTAACGACGCGTGTGGCAGCGCCCAAACGTATTAAACTTCTCAGCATTGTTAGTTTGGATGTGACAGTGCTCGCTGTATCCGAATTACAAGCGTCGTCACAGATGCTCTTAGATAACAGACCCTGGACGAGCAGCTAACCTGCCGTAGTAGGATTAGACAGTAAATGTTATCGGTCATCGATGTCAAAGGTCTCTGCGGATTTATCACGCGTGCACAACAAAGGGGCCGTTCACTGTTAATTTTGTCGACCTAGCTAATGCGCACTAACTCCGCGGGGACTTTCGCCAGTTTTGCTGAACGCAATCAAATTATCATACATTCACGCCTTCTCCAGGTGTGGAGCAGCACATAAAATAGCTGGTGATTACACGAATACGTATGAAACGAGGGGCGTATTAGTCTGTTAATCTGTTTGACTCCCCGTGGAGTTGGTGCGCATATGCTAGGTCGACAAAATTCATTGTGAACGACCCCAAATACTTCGGCTCCAGCATTCAGTGCTGCCCCCTGTGGACATAGACTAACATGCTCCGCTTGCATGATGAGTTATGTAATATGTATCCGCGGCATTGAACCCCCAAGAATGTTAGCATATTTTTTATGTACAGACACTGCTCTGTGTGCCTTACTCCGTCCCTCTTTTCTAGGTCCACTGAATGACTTTTTCATAAGATATTCGCCGATACCACTCTGGCTAATTTTGTACGCTTTTCTGCAACATTGAAAATATTGTGTGCAAATGCCATCACTTATATCATGGACATAATCTCTTATTATGTCCATGCTTATATGGCCTCAAGCAAAGGGCACCCAACACCCAATTCCCAGTTTTTACGTTGCAGGCGACGGCCTTCATTGGCTTTGTCTGCGGTCTGTCATGAGAATAACAAGGTATCTTAGGTGAGGTACAGGCACTAAATAAGCAAAGTGTCCCTTGATTAACATTAAATTCCGTAAGTTTTAAGTAACAGCAAAGACTCTAGATAGTAGTACAGCTACGGGAACCATCCATCTTTTTAAAATCCTGTCGTTTTGGAAGAAATATTTACCATCATAACAGGCTCGGGATGAGTTGAACAACCGCACTGGCTATTACATCTAAAATGTAATCATGAATAACCAGTGTTAGTGCCATTTTATCGTCATTCAAATTCGACATCAGACGTTCGTCAATCTTAAGGTTAAATCCCTTTCGTCGGCTGAACACCTTCAACACCCGATGTAATTGCTTGCAGAAGTTAAGAATGGGTAACCAACATGGATCTTCTCATTCTTGGACAGTACAACGCAATAAACGTAGAATGTCAATGCCATTAATGTTACAGTTTTTGTGGTCCTTGATTCTCTGAGACAGCACAATCCGTCCATCTTTTAGAGTCGTTATATGCAATACAAGTCCATACATGTATCTCAAAGGAAACCTATTTCCAGGTGTTGAAGCTCGTGTTTTCAAAATGACAATTTGCTCATTCAGGTTATCATTTGGTCTGTATGCACTCATCGAAATGTGGTGGGCTGAATGAAGAGTTGTCATAACGCATGTCTTAATATTCTTGAACCATGTAGTTTTCAATTCTTGAAGCCCATGCTTCTCTTCTTCTCTTGTAAATTGTTGACGTGAGAAAGTTTCGCCTTGCAACTCGTATGACAACACCATGTCAACACTCCTGCGGCCATTTTGAGGTACAGGCACAAAATAAACAAGTGTCCCTTGATTAACATTAAATTTCGTTACACCACATACTCTACATAGAAGTACAGCTACGGGCACCATCCACCCTTGCAAAATCCTTTCGTTAAAGAAGAATTCATATCAGGCTCGGGATGAGTTGAACAACGTACTGGCTATCACATCCAACGTGTGGTCTTGAATTACCAGTGTTACTGCCATTTTTATCGTCATTCAAATTCAATATCGGACGTTTTTCTGTCTTGAGGTCAATTCCTTCTACGCCGGCTGGCGTCTGGGGCACCAACACCTGAACGCCTTAAACACCTGTGTTAATTGCTTGCATCAAAAGTAAAGATGTAAAGAGCAGGTAACCAACAGAAATCTTCTAATTATTGGAAAGTAGAACGCAATAAGCGAAGAATACCAATGTCATTATTGTTACTGTTATTGTGGTTCTTGTTTCTCAGAGCCAGTACAATCCATCCATCGTTTTATGCAATGCAAAGCCAAACCTCAACGAAAACCTTCTAGGAGTTGAAGCTCGTGTTTTCAACATGACCATTTGCTCATTCAGATTGCCATTTGGCCTGTGTGATGTGGTAAAAAAAGAGTCGCCATATATTATGCTTCTAATTTTCTTGAACCAACTATTTTTCTATTCTTGTAGTCCTTGCCCTCTCTTTTCTCTTCTCAATTGCTGATGTGAGAAGCTTTCGCCTGGCAACTCGTATGCCAACACCATATTTGCCTTCCTGCGACCGTTTTGAGATTTGCAAACTGCCCATTAGCCGAATCGGTTAGGTCCCATTTCGTAGACAAGAAATAGCTGTCTCAAATATTCTAACATAAATATTCTAACAGAAACTGTTCTTTCACTGTAGTTTCTGAGAAGTTTTCCACATATAATTTTCTCTCTATTGTCTCTTTCTTTAACCAGGCACCACAGCCCATATGCCGGTACAGTCTGCCTGTACACGTATCTTAAAATATCTCACCAATACCTGGATTATATCTGTCAACAATTCTTGGCAGTGGAAAACCCTCCTTTTTATTTATATGACTGTTTCTATCATATAATATTACTTCTGCCAATATACATGTTTAGTACGTAAGACGAGTTCCGTTAGCCTTTACATGAATTGAACAAAGGTCGATTTTCATTGCCTTACAGAACACCACGAATATAGTTTTTAAACTATTTAAGAAAAACGAACACGCATTGCTCCAAATGGTGCGAATGTTTGTTACATTAATATATATCTTGCAGTATTAAGTACATGAACATTTGAGGTGTATGTGAAAAGCAGATGCCCCCGTACACCAAATTATTCTCTATTTGTTTGTTGTTCAGACGAGATTTTGTTTAGGAACGTGACTGTGACCTCAACATCGATAGGGTCATCTAGACGTGATGAGGACCGTACGTAAGTCAAATTGTTCTTAATTCATTAGTCGGACAATTTTCTTTCTTTTTTTCGAAGGTCAATGTGACCTTGGCTATTAACAAACTGACCTCAACATCGATAGGGGCCATCAACATGTGATGTCGGACAAGGTCTGGTAACGGACCAACCGACAGACAGACCGACCTGTGCAAAGCAATTAATCCCGCATGTTCGAAATCGGGCTTAACCTTACCCGTTTCCGTGTGAATAAAATACTCTACAGGCATTTGTGTTACGGTACCAAGGAGAGCCTACTCTGGCTTGTGTCGGCGATGGTCGTGGTGTGTGTGTGTGTGTGTGTGTGTTTGTGTGTGCGTGCATATGTGTGTGTGTGTGTGTGTGTGTGTGTGTGTGTGTGTGCAATCTACCACTTCTATCGTCCAGGGTGCTTGTGTACCAATGAAACATGTTTCACATTATCTCAACGTACCTGATTTTTCAAGCTTTGAAAGACTTTACCATGTCACTGCAAACCTGTTGAAAGAAGAGACAGGGCGTACAGTAGGTTGGATAGTCACGAGTTGAACTATTGTTTCGTTAAAGTTTAACCTAAAATGTGTTGGGCTGTGTTCAGAATAGAAGTTATCGCATTAGCAGGCTCGATCTATCTCGGCACAGATGATGTTTTGCGAGAGGGGCGTGCCATAAAATCCAGCAG